ACAAAAGCCTGTAGCATTATATAATATTGCATGATTAAGTGCATACGTACGAGCAGCACTGTCACCACCATCTTCATCCATCCATCTCTACCACATCCACAGCCACAGCTTATCTTGGATGCTCATATGTATACATATACATATAGTCGAACTTATAACAATTTTTATAAATAATAATAGTGATTATAAGGATTACTCCCTGCAGGTTAGGGTCATTATCAAAATTGGCCCCGATGTTTCAATTTCATCATTATGAAACCCAACTTTTTAAAATCTAACCAAATTACACACTCTGTTAACTTCACCGTTTGATTTTATGTTAAATTGTTATCAAATTATGCACACCATGTTAAAACAATAAAAGAAATTTCTTTTACACATCATCATAAAAGTGACAATCAAACAGTGAAGTTGATGAAGTGCATAATTTGATCATATTTAAAAACGTTGGGTTTCATAATGATGATGAAATTGAAATCCCAGAGCCCATTTTGATAATGACCGTAAATCTAAGAGGAGTAAAATGTAGTTAATCCTAATAATGAAGCTGGCACCTGCTTCCTCCTCAGCTGCAGCATGATACATATTTCTTAAAAAATGAAACTAATTCCCAATGGTTTGGACAATAAGAGACAGCATGAGTATATGCAAATATCCAGGTACGTGTCGAGCAAATATTGAGCCATGTGTAGGGTTAATTATTTCTATCTGAAATCCCAAAAGAAAATTAATTGGGTGGAACCTGGAAATTAATTGGGTGGTTATGATGACGACTTAGTGACTCGATGACTCATGATCAACTAGAGCCATGTGTTCGTCGTAGAGGGACTCTCTTCACAATGTATATCCAATTATTAAGCTATTGCATGGATATGGTCTTCATCATATTGAATCATATATCCTACATCAAAATTGTTAAGTCTTGCGTTACAACATACAAAATATTCATTCTCATCCTTGTTGTGAATTGATTTTGGGTTCGATGTCTTAACTTTAACATGTTATCAAAGCAAGCAATTCACGTGTTAGGTTAACAGTTGCACATACTTTTATTATTATAGTTTCCATTATTTCAAAACATGAGCGCGAATGTTTTTATCTTGGTTCTCTCCCTTTTCCAATTGATATTAGGTTAAATGTCTTAACTTCAACATATTATTATAGAGCAAGCAATTCACATATTAGGCTAAGCAGTCATATATATCTACATTGATGACTTTGTACGTGAGATGGCGTATTGAGAGTATATGCTTTTATTATTATAGTTTGTTCCGTTCAATGAATGTGAATGTTTTTATCTTGGTCACCACAACCACCATCATCATCATCATCATCACTGTGATTACGAATTAAAACTACGAAAACATGCATGTTTTGTTGAAAAAAGTGAATGCAGATCCTAGCAATGCGGACTTCCAACCCTTTATATATTCAAAATTGTGTGTGTATATGTATAGACACAAACGTAGAAGAAGGAAAAGCAAGATTATTAACAATTATAATAACAATAATGAAGAATTAATGGATACAAGTTAAACATTGTGGACGAGCTCACAGGCTATGACTCATACGTATGCCCTTTCTACAAGTTGTGCTCAGGTTGGTATTCTGCTGCCACACTTACCATAAGCAGGTGAACATGCTTATTCTATCATTATAATGGCCTAATCAATTAGCCTTGACTCAATTTTTCAGTGTGATTGTGTCATACTCTCATGAATGTTACTAACACATTCGTTATAATATGAGCAAATGACATGATTGATATATTCTAGATCTTGGATATAGTATTTTTGATACAAAAGATATGGGAGGAAGGGGAAATTGAACTTATGACCTTATTAGGTGCTAGTAGTTAATAAATAAATAAACATGTTAGAACAACAATGAAATTTATAACATTACGTGAAGGTGTGACAATAAAATTTGAAAAATAAACTCTACTATGATCTAGTAGTGAAAATAGAGTCGTAGAGCAAACACGGAAAAAAAAAAGGAAGAAGAAGAGAAGCTTAGTCAATTGCTATAAATGTTATTTTCAGCAATTATCTGGAAGTGAATGCTATCAAATGATCAATTTTGATGTGCCAATTACTCTCACGCCCACAAGCATAAATTTCAATTGTCACATACTAGGGCCCCTCATTTATTCCATATCATATCCAATCCCAAAAGAAAAATTAATTAAGGGAGAGGTTGACACTCTGAATTAGACCTCACAAAACAAAGTGGATCACATTGCTTTCCATCCAGTCAGTGCCTCCATCTATATCCCGATTGCTGTCTGGGCCAAGCCAACTATGTCATGATCTACATATTATTACAGAATAATGCTGGAGATGGAGCTAGAGGGACAACGATGGCATGGCCCCATTGCGCATGTCATGGATATTTAGGGTCATTTTCATATAGGTCAAGGTGTCATGTTTTCATTGGTTCCCCACATCCACAATGTGCCTCATCCACTGAGCCACATGCACCCAACATTCACAACATGACTATTCAAAAGTCCACCTCGTATATTTATATTAGTGCTTATGTACTTTAGTAATCTTTACTTTGTTGAAGGAAGTTACGAGTTCATGAGAGACTTTGTTGAAGGAAGTTACGAGTTCAAATCTCATGAATGAGAATGGTTCAGTTCGAATACCATCAAGTTTCAATTATTGTCAAAACTGACTGGTTTGCATATATATGCTGAGCATCAAGGGCAGCTTTCAAAGAAATAATTACAAGGTGGAAAGCATACATGATGTCTGGAAAATTACGCTTGTTTAATATTGCAGACTTAAGGCAGAAGAAGAACCACGTTTACTAAGACATGAATGACTGCAAAATGCCAAAGCCTATATGGCAAAGAACATATCATATCCAATTGTGATGACAATATCTGCAGATTAATGCCAAAAATTTGGCACACAAAGAACATATCATATCCAAAAATCTAATGCCAACTCACCCCATTCCAAATCCGATTCCTCCGTCCACATGGTTGCAATTAAATGAACGTTTAGGCGGCGCCATGTCTGAAAAAACAGGCATCCTTAAAACTAGAAGACAAAACAGAAACATCTGTGCCCAAAAAATGCACGGTGGATGGCCATATTAATACTGATATGTATATGTTCATGCATATGGTTCGAAACCTAAAGCTCTTTAATTTGTTTCCTTGATCTACCAGGCAAAGAAATTAATAAGAGCGAAGAATCACATCGCACTAGTGGCTAGGCATAGGCATAGGCTTAGGTCCTGTGTGCCAGCAGATAACAAAGCATGCCCATGTTCATGTGTTCCACGGGGACATGTTTAAACATGCTTTTATGAGGATCAAAATCATCATTAGTAGCTAGGGCTGAGATGTTTGTCAATTGTCTGTCTGGTTCAACTAATTACATTAGATTAACGTTAATCGATGATTTTAATCAGACAGGAAAACCAACCATATCTTTACAAGTATCTGTAAACTACCACAAACAAACAAATATCTAGCAATATCATTAATCTAATCCCCATAGGTTAGGCATTGCAATATGGGATATATTAATTATAAAAGAATGATAATAATAATTATGGCATTAATCTAGGCAGCTCTCTGATTTTGTTCCAACCATTCCACATGGGCAGATTTTGCTGCAGATTTAGAAAGCAATAAAATAACAAACAATCCGTGGAAGGATCCCTTTCCTGGATTTTGGGCATGGATATTCACATGAGAAGCAGAATCCACTAGGCAATTTGGCATGTTAAGAAATAACTTCACATACATGCATGGGCAAAAACATTATCACTGATGACAAGTTTAACTCAAATCTATCAATCGATGTAATTCCATTTCTTCTTGTTAGAATTACAACTTACCAAAAGAATGTTTTATAAGTTTAAATGGAGATTCAAACATTCAGATAAGTTCTAATTCTGATATCTTCGTGGTTGCATGCAAACAGTTTACAACAATTGCAGAGATAGTGATCTTGACATGGGGTGCAATTGACTCACCAGGCCACAGCAGGCCTTTTGGTCGGCCCATCTTATAAAGCCCACTAAATGAAAAGAGAACCCTAGTCGGGCCTAGTAATCCCAAGTTATAGTCCCGAAGGCAGGCATAACCTCACTAAGCAGGAAGACGACAGTGCAAGAGTTCTATATAGTGAGAGTCCCTATCTCTTAACTGTTGGATTAGGCTAATCAATTTGATCCAATGGCTAACTAATTTGATATAACGGTTAAGAGATAGAGTCTCGGCTACAGTGAGGGGTAATAGGGAGGCTCACGAAGTAGTGCCAGTTTCCTTTCCTCAAAGCTTAGGTGCATTTCGCTCTATATAAATGATAAAATGTTCTACAGAAGACCTCAAGACCCCATTTGGTTCACAAAAAGAATTTAATGAGAAATCAAGGGGAAGCAAGGTATTTCACCCTGCTAATAACCATGTCTGGTAAGGTGGTAAGGAGGCGTTTGGTTCGTGAAAAGGAACTCATAGGAAATGAATTGCCATGTCTTTTGCCCAGGTGATGAGAAATGAAAAATCATGTTTGGTTCATACCAAAATGTTATGTTAGATCTATAGTTTTGGAATGCGCAACAGCAACTACACCTTTTGCTTGTTTAGTGTAGAAGGTGCCTTCTAGAGTTATTTGCTTGGGCCGCTGTATAATTAGAGAGGGTGCAACTCAACCCTCCCTGGAGTTTCACCGGAATATTCCAATCAGTGCAGTTAAAAAGATAAAATCAACAAGTCTTAGATAACCATCTCACTCAATTTCTCAATTTGACCTATCTATTACACGGGTAAATTTCAATTAACAATCGTTCAAAACGTTCTACAAGATAAACGCGATCTTCTTACATGCCATTATAATTAATAAAAACAAAGTACCCTGGACCAATTTGAACAGTTGAAAGTTCGAACAACACAAAACTGCTAACAAAATCTGAAATTAACTTAAGATTGCTAGAAAAGGCTGCTTAGAAAGAGGCGTAACTTAATGCTGCTCCACTAATTACTGGCAGAGCTGCTCAACTGCCGTCACAATCTGGGCAGGTTGAACAACAGTCACTTCCTCCAATGTTGCGGCATATGGAGTGGGAACATCCTGTGAAGACAGGCATATAATAGGGGCATCTAGATAATCATGGAAGTTCTCAGTGATTGCTGCAGTCAAGCTAGCACCAATTCCACCCGTCCGCATGCACTCCTCGACAATCAGCACACGGTGTGTTTTCTTCACTGAATTTCCTATTGTGTGAAGATCAAATGGTTTCAACGACCTAATATCAATCACTTCTGGATCATAACCCTTATTCACCAAAGTTTTGGCAGCCTGCATCACATGATACCTCATCCGAGAGTATGTCAATATAGTGACATGCTCCCCAGGCCTAACCATCTCAGCTTCCTCAAGAGAACACACATATTCTTCATCTGGAATTCTCTCCTTGAGATTGTATAGCAACACATGCTCAAAAAGAATCACTGGGTTATCACTTCGAATGGCAGCTTTCATCAAACCTTTGGCATTGTAAGGGGTTGAGCATGCTACCATTTGGATTCCAGGAATCGACTGAAAATAGGACTCTAGACGTTGCGAGTGCTCAGCCCCAAGTTGCCTTCCCACTCCACCAGGACCACGAATAACTACTGGAATTTTAAACTGACCCCCAGAAGTGTAGTGGAGCATACCACAGTTGTTGGAGATCTGGTTAAAGGCTAGAAGGAGAAATCCCATGTTCATACCCTCGATAATTGGTCTCAGACCAGTCATGGCAGCTCCAATACCCATACCTGTAAAGGAGTTCTCAGCAATAGGAGTATCAAGAACCCTGAGATCTCCATACTTATCAGCCAGGCCTTTGGTCACCTTGTACGATCCTCCATAGTGTCCCACATCTTCACCCATTACACATACAGTGGGATCCCTAGCCATCTCTTCTTCCAATCCTTCACGTAGGGCCTCAAAAAGCAGAAGTTCGTGCCTAAGGAAAGAATGCTTATCTTGTCAACTCAATGAGTAACAGAGGAACCAAATAACTAACATAACTATACTATTATCCTGTAGATGTAGTTCTCATGGCCATATATATATATATATATATATATATATATCACTTCATAACCAACTCATCAATTTCAAGCAAAGATAAGTGCAGGGAGTATAGCACACACACGATATTGTGCCAACTCACAAGATAAAGATACACCCGCTTATGCATAGGGGACCATATGCAGTGGAAAGGGAAAAAAAGAAAGTAAATTCAATACATTTCAATTCAAAATATTAGTCAACCTACAAGGACACATCCAGCATGATTGTCAACTCTTCGTATTTTTATCTAATTAAGGAAATTATGAGCGTCTTATACTAAACAGTAAACAATTCATGTCTTCATTGCAGACCTAACAAATACACTTCCTTTGCAGGCATGTCGAGACTCAAGCATCAATGTAAAAGATTGCAAATTTTCGCATCTACGCACAGTAGAAAATGTAATTCTCATCTTGTCATGTACAGACCCTGTTTTACAATTGCTTAAATTTTTACTCCTAAACAATTGAAGATAACAAATAATTGGAAATAAAAAATCTGACAAGGTGTAAATGTCATGCTAATGCTAGCCTACAATACCGATACTGAATCTTAACACTGAATTACAGGCAAAAACCGCACGTTTGATAAGTGCAAAAATGTGAACTTGTGATGCATGAGAATCAAGTTTAGCCAAAAACAAAAGCTCACAAGCAAGCAAAGAAAAAGCAAAAACTGAAACTCTGCAATCCCAACAATATAAAAACATACCCAGGTTTCGATGCCGTCGAAGCCGCAGCGCTATCAGCCTTCGTCTAGGAACAAAAACACCCACAAGTAAAATCAGAACTCCACGCATTATGAATAACAAATTCAACACAATTTTCAAATCAATAGAAAAAAAAATTCAAAGAGAAAGAGAAAGATGATTAACTGCAACAGCATTGGTAATTAGCTGATCGGCCCGACGAGCTCTCGAATTCGGACCCGACTTAGACCCGGAATCAGATCTGACAACAAAGAAGCTCGCTTTCCTCCCTGAATCAAATCAATGAGCAAATAAGCAAAAATAAATCAATGGCGCTGAAGGAAAGGCTAAAGAGGACCAGGGCAGACCTGGGAGGGATCTGCGAGAAGGGAGGTGAAGCTTCCTTGAGTTGGAGGAGACCGATATAGCAGCCGAAGTAGCTCCAAAACACTGAGAGACGGTAGCCATTGAATTTCAATTCTCGAGCAGAAATTGAAATTCCAAGAAACCAATTGAATAAAAAAATGAAGCTAATGAATAAGAATTGGAGCGAGAGAGCAAGTTTATATGAGGATTTGGGCGGACGGATTGAGAAATGGGTTTGGCGATTTAATTGAGAGGGCTTTGCATTCGCAGAGCGTCCCGCTTAGTTTTCATCGCCTCCATGTGGCGTTCTCATCCCCTGCGTGTGGGTGTTGCACTACAATAGTGGAGAACGAGCCACGTAAGGGAGAAATGGTGGCGAAATTACGGGATTGGGTTTGTGTGTTTGAAAGGGGTTACGTGGAGAGTTGTGAGTGGGGGTTGTATAGTGCTGTTGGAGAGGTTATACAGTGTGGATTAAAGTTGCCGTTGGTGCTGTTCTTGTGTGAGGCACCATTTGGTGGCCTAGCTTAACCAACCGAAACAGGTAGCTCGTTAATGTCAACGTGCAGCTCACGTGATACCATTCATTAGAGAATCAAACGGCCCAAATTATTGGGTTCTAAATTGGCAAGCCCACCTCGGTTTAGTTGTTGAAATTTTGGGTTCCAACATTTGATAACCAGAGTCATTAATTGATAAATGATCATTAAGAGTCATACTCGATAGAATTAAAACAAGAATTCTCTTTCTTTATCATCAATTGAATCATTGTTTGAGACCCATGATTCTATTTTATCATTTGCCCAAGAGTATTGAGTTTAAGAGAAACCCAATCCTACAAAGTCACTATATAATTACTCTGATCCCTAAAATATAAAGCCTCATTTTAGACGTGAGTGTTATATTGTTTGATTGTCAATTGAAATCAATTATTTAGATATAACAAAATTTATTTGGTAATGATACGGAAAAGTATGTCAAATAGTCTCATTATATCGATATCATCCCGATATGTTGTCAAGATTGTTTATATTGCTTATTAATAAAGTATTAATATTTGTTGATATTTTAATATTGTCAATTTGCTACCGCAATAGTGATATTTGAGATATCTAAAGTACTTTATTTATTTATAATTTTATTATATAAAAATATTTTTTGGTCAAATTATGGAACAAAATGTAATGGGTCGGCCCATTAGCCCATAAGGTCAACCCATATGATTTGTGGTCGTTATTATTTCAGACAAACCAATCCCCTTACCTAAAATGGGAAATGGGAGAAAACGAAGAGAACAAAGAGGAATAGAAGAAAAGGCGCGTGGACAATGGAGCTTTTCTATCTCTTATGCTCCATCCTCTCCACCTTCCTCACTTCCCTCACTCTCTCCCTCCTCCTCCCCTTCAAGACTCTCCTTCGCCGCTTCTCTTCACGCGCCGCCTCCTCTTCCTCCGTCTCCCTCTACGGAGGCACCGTCTGGCACGAGCGTCGCCTCCCCGTTCACCACTCTTTTCGCTATGACGTCCGCTACGCGCTCATTGACTTGGACCACGAGCCACAAGACCTCCCCAACCACCTCTCCGCCGAGGAAGCTCGCCGCATTGCCGGCACCAATGGCCGGACGTAATCACTGATTAGCTAATCACTTGGTTTTGATTATGCTTAATTACTGATTAGTTATATGCTAATAATTCATGTGTTTTGGTGAATTTGGTGTTGATGATGAACAGTTTGCTTTTGACAATACCTCAAAGTGTGGGATACGAGCAGAACCCATTGAGCTTGTACTACTGCTATGATAGTGATGACCAGCTTTTGCAAAAGTGCATTGCCGAGGTTTGTTTTTCACTTTTCTGCTTGATTAAGTTGTATTTTTTTTAAGATTATTGCTGCTGATATATATATCATTATTAGGTAACCAACACACCATGGGGAGAAAGAGTGACATTTGTTTTCAACCCAAATTCTGATTTAGTGGCAAAGCCATTGCATGTCAGTCCTTTTATGGTATGTTACTATGTTTCAGTAGTAAATTGCTGTGCTCAATTCGTATTTGACAATTCTTGGTGTTGATAGGAACTTCTCTGTTTTGAAATTGATGAGTTCATCTATAGATTTTGTTGTAATGTTATCTCACTCATTTAGTAGTAGCTTTGACCAATCACAAGGACAGTGTCCTGTTTCCTTAAGTTTAGATGCACAATGGATGAACTGGAGCATATAAGATTTTAGAAAAGCATTGGTTGTGGCAGAATATCATACCACATTGTCATGTAGCAAACAAGAAAGAAAAAACTTTGAGGGGTACATTATACTAAGATCTTTCTATGTGCTGACTTAGAGAGTGGAAAATGCGCGGTATGTGCATTTTGTAGATGGATGGGTAAGGGAAGCTAGGACAGTTTTTCGGGGGAATGCCCTCAACATGTGGTTGTGATTTCTGGCTTCTGATAGATGTTGTACTTTGTCTAATTGTAGTCATTTCACTGTTCCATTCTCAGCAGTAGGAAGAAAGTGTATCTTGTGGTCAGTTGAATTGTAAAAACTGTAGTGATCAACCATGTGCTAAGTTTTACTGAAATGTGTTTATGGTTTGTATGCCTTGCTCATTGTGCAAATGTCAACTTTGAGAAACCATTTATGACAATTGCAGGATATGTTGGGGGATTGGAGTATCAGAGCAAATGCTCCTGACGATGATCTATTTGTTTCAATTTCAGTTCAACACCCTGAGCTTGGTAATTATTTCACAGCTACCCTAAAAGCTAAAAGGGTATCCTCATCATTGGTGTTTGATCATGCACTGTTTTTCTGGTTGATGCCGCACAAGGTTGCAGTGTGGATATATTGGCATGTAAGTATAGTAGGATGGCTGCTTTATTTGGTCTCTGCTGCACTCTAGATCTTACCATAAGCTGAATCAGATAAATTTAATGGAAATAAAAACTTTGGTTAGAAACTACTTATAGTTGGATCGGTTACACTAAGTGGACTTACTATACTTTGGACTAATTCAAGATTTAAGTTGACTCTTCCAAGTTGAGAGAGTACGTCTATGCTTCAACATTGAATCAATTGCAGTTCTTTTTCTTTTACCATTTCTTTCCCAGGCCTTCAAACTCTGGTGGAAGAATGTATCATTTGTCCAACACCCAAGGTACACCAACCCTGCATACAGGGAGGAAGCTTTGGAACGCGATGAAAAACTTCACTGCCGTCAGGCTGCCGGATTGGACAAAGATAAGAAGCATCTGCAATTTGAAGGATGTGGTCAAGGCTGTATGGCTAGCAGGAAAAGCGAGGCTCGTTTTTGTACATGGAGAGATGCAAAGTGGCCTTGGTCTTAACTCCGAACGGTAGGACTTAGTGTTGTCCTCTATGTTAACATGGGAAGCAGCACTGGATTTGGCTAGTTCTCTTTGTTCTTGTTCCCTCCAAAGTTTGTATTTTGGTAGTATACTACACAGTAGAAAAGTCCAGTGAAAATTAAAATACATAATAATGCAAGCTATAAACCTAGACTGTAGCAGATTTTAGGAAAAGATCAAAGCAGATCTTGTTTATGTCTCTTTTTGGGACACAAATTATGCATCTATCTATGTGGATAAGTTAAGCTCCCACTTGACTATGAGCAGCTACGTACTCACACTTTTTCTGTATATGATCATGCGGCTCAAATTTTCTGTTTGTATATAATTTGATTTCTACATTGATGGACTGCTAACAACTCTTTAGTTTTTCTAAATAAATAGTTTGGCTTAAAATGATACATCGTGGTGTCCACTAATAATTTTTTAAGGGAATTTAAGGTTTTATGAAACTTAAAAAAATATATCTGTCAATTGTTAACCGCAAGAAAAGTTGTATTTCGATCCTCTGATTTTTCAGGTTTGTTGGGCTGCTTTTTCAGCACACAAATGAAGAAAGAATATACAAATACAAGTAGTATACTAGTCACAGGAAAGTAGAAGAAAATCAGAATTAGCATATAAGTTGAAAAGATTACGCAGTCGTTGGCCAGCTTTGGCAGTTCACCAATAAAATAAAAAAGATTACGCTGTTCACAAAAAGGCTTTTGCTATGCTGCGACTCTTCTTACTGTGGGTCCAACATTTTCAGGAAATGTAAGTATGAGCACTTTAATCCATTTTATCATGATAAAGGGGTTTGACAAGGAAGGGCTAATAAGGCGGTATACATTATTCACGTGATTTTACTTTTCCATCTATTATCATGGTAAGTAAAGGCAAACATTCACTCGAGATATGAGGAGAAAAATGTGTATGAAGTTTTGGTGTGGGAAGTGAAGAACATGGCTAGATATTTATAAAGAAAAAAAATATTATGATTTTTTTCCTCTTTTTTCTTCAATTATATGTGTATATATATATATATATATATTTAAATTGGTCATTGATGTCACGCTGACATCAGCATGAGGACAGCACCCATGTAACAGTTCAGGTAATTCTTGCTTTTGGGTTGACCTGAATAACCAGGTTCCATTCTTGCCCAAGCTAACTTTTTGCTGGGGGCTTCTTCCAAGCTTGAGCTTCCTTTGGCCCTAAAAAAAAGGCACCGCTGGAAGTGCTCAAATTGGCCATGATTATTTTTAAGAAAAAAAAAATTGTAATTTTGGATATGTTGTCCCATTTAATCCATTCAAATTTTATAAAATTAAGAATGAAAGAAAGTTTCCACAATTTTCTTAGGAAATCTGTGTGGTGTCCAGTTGCAACAACTTAATGTAATAAGGTGCACATAATCGGGAAATTTTATCAGGTCGGCAAATCGCACTATTACGTGCATCTAACTATTCACTCATGCTCTAATTCGTGTATGATGATATTCAGATGCATGACATTTTAACTATGTCATCCACTCATATATAATATGTGGACTAGTAATGTTGAGAGTGTTTGTCCCACATTGAAAAGTTCAGAGACCAAGCCTGGATTTATAAGGAGTTGGGCTACTCCATCCAATTGCCAATTGGTTTTGGGGTGGAACCTCAACTTCCTTCATGGTATCAGAGCGGGTTACCCACGTGTGAAAGCCCAACTGCCACACGTACTCCACGTCACCCAAAATATGTTGTCCATGTGTTAGGCTAGAAAATTCGCCACACGTATGGGGGTGTGTGAGAATGTAAAGGTAAAAAGTCTCACATTGAAAAGTTAAAAAACCTTACAAGGGTTTATAAGAAGTTAGGCTACTCCCCGTGTAAACGGGTGGCGCACGGCAAGTTGGCAACCAATAAATAAACCCACGCACCAGCCAACGACGCTTTTGTCAAGTCACGGCTCAGCACTGCTGGATTTCTTTGGAGAGGTATTGATCACGTGCATGAAAATTAGAAAATGAAGTTGCCTTTTTTCTCAGGTCAGGCGGGCCAGAAACAAGATTAACTTCAACTTGAAGTTAGAGGAAGGACTCAATGTTTGGTGGCCACCGAATTAACGGAAAGTATGAACCGCCGCTCCTCTAGACTTCCCAATGGGCATGTTTGGTTCACGGGAAAACATCACCAACTTTTGAAGATGCATGGAAAATGTGATTTAGTTTATTCATTAAAGATGTGTTTGTTGTGTATCATTATGTTATTTACATGTTATAAATACATGTGCGGTACACAGATTTATTTGGTGAGAGTATCTAGCAATGCTCATAATACCACTTTTCTTGCTACAAAGTTTTCAAATAACGTTATTATACACGTACAATATCGACATAATATTGATAATTTATCTGACTATGTTTATCATCAAAATAATAAGACAATATCGATACGTAATATTGAAAGGAAAGTTTTTCGAAAACTCACATTATCGTGATTTACGGAAGAAAAAAAAAGAATACTTGGAAATGGAAAAAATGTTTTCCTTAAAGAAAAGAATTGGCTTACAAGTGTTGATGTGGTGAATCATGTGAGAAATGTAATGTTAAATCGTAGTGGGTGGAAAACTATCATATGCCGTAGACGTCGTGTCCATTGATGTGAGGTGGTAGGATAATGTGATGCACATGATATAATTGTTATTTTAGTTGTCATATCAATTTATAAAGAAATTTTAATAACTAAAAAACTTTTGTACGAATAATTGGTGGTGACAACAGTTTTGCTTTTTCATATAATTAGTTTCTTAAGCACCAGAAAAGTGGATAATAATGACGTCGTTTCAGTAAAACAGCACTACTTTTCATCTTTATGGCGATGAAGAGAATGTTTTTATTTTATTTTAATCAATAACAGAATAAAGAAGGAGAAGAAAAAGCAAAAAAAGAGGTGCTCTTTTTTTGTTGGAGTAATTTTTGGGCATCATAGGCTTAATTTGTGTCCGGATATTCGGAGGCACTAGGTTTGACAAGGGAGGGTTTTGAAAAGTGAGCAAAGAATTATCGGGTGTACAAAGTAAATAATATCATCCTCAAGTGAATGAGGTTTTTCACATACGCACGCTATCAAGGGGCTCTGAGGATTCAAACCTTAAACAACTGGTGGTCTACAAATCAAGATTTTTTTTCATTGAGTTAGATTCCGTTGGCAATCGGTTATAGAATGATGAGAAGAAATTATGTTTATGGTAAAAAGAAACCAAGAATTCCTTTTTGCACCATGTTCAATTCATCTAACCCTTCCTTGATCCATAAATAAATTAATAAATTGATAGAAAGTTTGTGTGTGGTTCAACTTTCAAGAAGTGACCAAGCCGACAAGCAGCCACAGAAACCAAATTCAACGTCCCCTCCCAGTTTTGGTATTTACACATGTAATTTGTTTTCTTTCTATTGGCTCGTATTCCTTGTTTTCTACCGACGCACAAATACAAATACAAATACCAAAACAATTCATTAAAAACAAGTACAAGTTGAGGTCGATGGTGAAGAAAGTGGTGCTCAGTCTGCCGACTAAAAGGCACGTGACTGAATATGATAGCAGTCGAAAATTCCAACCAGTGAAGAAAAAAGAACGGCACAAGGAAAATAAAGGAGAAAGCAGCAGCTATGGGTAGCTGTACCGTTTTTGGAGGGCATAATTGAATGAAGAAAGAAAAAACGTTAAAATAGAAAGAAGATGAAAAAATTGTTTTTCACGTGCGTGAAATGAAAATGGGTAGCTCCTCCTCATCCATCCTCGTCCGCCGCTAGTGCAATTGGCCTCCCTTTTGGTTTTAAATTAAACGTGCGTGCGTTACGTGTTTGATAGGTGTTGTTTAGTTTTTAGCCCGAGGTCCCATTTATGTGGGGCCCTTGAAACACTTTTTTATGTTTTTTTCCCACAGTCACACACGAGATATATAAATACAAGTCTCATTTGATAACACTAAAAACTCACTCGTCCCTCCATCTTCTTCATCATCTTTTATAAAGAAATCAGAATGAGGAGAAACTGCAACCTGGAGCTTCAGCTCCTACATCCTTCTTATGAAACCCATCAAAAACAGCAAGAGCAAGAACAACACGAAGAACAGCAGCAAAAGCAGCAGCAGATGATGACTATTTTTTATAACGGAGCGATGTGCGTTCGTGATGTTACAGAGCTTCAGGTATGTCATCTCATCTGCGTTAAGAGTTTTTCTTCTTGTTTTTTTTTCTTTTCTTTCGTTTTCGTGTCGGCCGGACAAATTTTTGCGAACGGATCAACCGGCTTAATTCACGTCTGTTAGAAAAATTAAGTATAGATTAAATGAAATATTAGCTTTTTTTAGCAAGTTATGCAGATATGTTAGGCATGAAGAACTGTAGAGATGTGTGGCTGCTTCATGCCGACAAGTGGGTGGCCTGCCAATATCGTGTGTTGACTCAAAATTCCACGGAAGATATTTTGTTCATCATTAGAATCATAGAAATTGAAAATAGACGTGTACTTGGATTTTGACCCAAAAAAAACCCACAGATTTGACCTACCTAAATATTAGTACATTTTAAAAGTTGAATTACTTGGAGGTTGCAACGTTAATTTGAAAGTTTCTCATTAATCCTCTAACTAATTATGCTAGTGAAATGTTTTGCAGGCTAGAAGCATCCTTTTTCTTGCAAACAGGGAAATGGAGGAAAGGGTAAAGAGTCCATTTACTCCAAGTGGATCAGAACTATCTTCACCAACTGTGATGTCTCCACTGTGTAGCCCTGTTGCTGGCTTGTCTATGAAGAGATCACTCCAGAGGTTTTTGCAGAAGAGGAAGCATAGGGTTCAAGCAACATCTCCATACCATCACTAGAAACCCATTTTTCGATTGATTAATTGCAAATTTGGTTGCATTTTTTTGTTTTTTTGTTTGTTAATCGAGGCGATAAGGGAGATTTGTAGACAGTATCTAGCTAGGAATCCTTAACGAAATGATGATATATTAGCCTTCTTGTACATTAATCGCTTCAAATCATGTTCATCCATATATTTAAAGCCAAAAAAATCCTTATGATATATTATGTCTTGATTGATTTAAGATCTTCTTGTCACATGTGGTTTTATTTTGCTATCGGATTATGACACGATTTTTTTAAATATATATATTTTTTATAAGGGGATGATGAGATGAACAGATCTATGAAAATTACATAAATTTTGGCAAAAAAAAAGAGTACAAACTTCTATGAACAGATCTCAGAAAATTCTTCATGATTTGTGCATGCAATAAACAATCTTCTTTTATCAATGCTAATTAAGCTTGGTCAGCGAACACTCACAACAAATTGCGGTTCAAATCGCATAAATTAATTGGCAAGTTAATAGTGGAGGTGTACATAGCTTGAATGATGGACCACTTATTTCGGGCAAAACTTATACTAACATGTTTACTTATTAGGAATGGGTATTGGAATAATTTCAATTCATGCTTCTCTTGTATGAACTAAAACATGACTATTGGAATGATTCTAATCTTGACTTCCCCTAGTTTACTAACACTTAAGGAATAAAAAATTATGTGGATTACACATTAAAATCCGTAATCAAATACCCTCAAAATTGGAAATGAGATCAACTAGGGGGAGTAGTTGATCCGATTCTAATACCTTGATTCCCCTATCTAAATTCCTCAATTCATGACTTCCCAATTCCTAATAAGTAAATTTAGCCGAAGTAATTAACATGATTCAGGAGAATTCATTTCTAATTGGGATCTTTCTGTATTCATAGCTTTCTCCAACTAATTTCTGATTCAACAGAATGGGAGCGACGGGAGTAGAATTGATCTAGCTAGGTACGTAGCCTCGGAGTTTTTATATGAAATTCATATCACTATATTTAGGTGGCCAATTACTCAAGTATTAGACATTCTGACCTAACAACTGGGCAAAAATATATTGAAAAAAAAACCCCTCCCAGCTAATTTAATCATAATATAGATACACATGTAGTTAACTGTAATTGTGAAGATTCGAATGCAAGACCTCAAATAAATAAGAAAATACTGCTAACCACTTAAGGTCATCAAACCCCTTTATTTGACTTAGTGAAGTGTTTAGACTTATCGAGACTTGGGTTTTCACATAAAACTAACCAATAAAGGTTAAACTGAATTATAATTAAAGCCAAGGAAAATTGGAAAATGGTGTTTGAGCTATAATTATTGGAAATAGGTGTCTGTCATGCGAAATTGCATGGCAATTTCCTGGAAAGATATTTATGTTTTCACTCATATATAGCTAAGTTACGACTCAATTATGAGGACCACGTTGTCTGCTTTTCCAACTTCTGTTTGGAAAATTGCACTTCGTGGGACACAAATTGGAAGGTTCCCTTAAGTTACATGGCAACAGCAATGGCAGTGGCAATGGCAGTGGCAATGGGGTTGAAAATTATGCAAAAAACAGTATGAAACCGCGGAGGGAATAACCTGGCGCCATCATTTAGCATCACGAAGCTGGAAATGCCACCATCATAATTTAAAAGGGTTTGTAATTTTCTTGACCGAGAAAACTTTAAAGCAAGAGAACAAAAGTGGTTGCAATTTCTTGTCACAGTATTTCACGTCAAATTGTTGAAAACTTTTGTGCAAATCAAGTTTGCTGTTCAGCCCATGATTTTGAAGAGATCAATGAAACGTTTTAAATGTCTTTATTGGTCTTGATCTTTTGTGGTTAACGGCTAATGAGAATGAGGTGATATGACACAACAAATTGGAAATTGGATTCCTCTCCACCACCTCCCATTTATGCTTTCCTCAATTTCCAAAACTTTCTGGTCCAATATTTTGGCTCCACTCATGACAAACTTATATAAAACCTCTCAGCAGCCTACATACCTACTCTATCTTTTCTTATTCCATAGCCTGGCTGTCCAAGAAAATTGTGTTTGGTGCAGCAGCAGAAGGGGAGTTTCTTTTTTATGTTCTGCCGAACTGTGGTTAAGAATCTTTGCAAGAAGCTATGTTCTTTTTTACCGTAGGGACAGTGAGGTGAACTAGCCATGAGGCTTTTAGTGCTGATGCTGTTAAGCTGTTTTGTCTGCAACAAATTAATTAGTGCAGGGCTGTTAAGCCAATTTTCACTTCAAGTGAACTAAGTAAAAGCTCTTTATTGAACACCATTGATTCCCAATATAGAAGTTGAGTTCTCAAATATATAATTTCTGAACCACGAGGGTTCAAGACAGGAAAATTTTGACAGTTCAATGCAATTATAATCTGGGAGCAATCCGAGGACGATCCCATTCAGTCACAATGTGGTTGCGGGTGATCTCCTTCAGCGAGCGACATCCACTTAACGCCATTGTTAGCTCAAACTCATCACGAAGCATTTGAAGTACTTTCCTTACACCAGCCTCACCAGCAGCAGCTAATGAGAACACCACTGGTCTACCAATCTGAAATATAGGCGTTGTTTCAAATTCATTGCTTTACTATATAAATCATAGAGAGGCAACAAAATGGATCCTATTTCTGATGTAAATGTTAAGTGACATATGTTTTACTCACAAATACACCAGATGCTCCAAGAGCCAGAGCCTTAAAAACATCAGTTCCTCTCCTCACTCCACCATCCAAAAACACAGGAATTCGGCCTTGTGCAGCTTTGACGACCTATAAGCCATCTCAACAAAGTCATAATCTCAGAATACACCAAAGATATAGTCCTAGAAGTGTTCCAAATAAGGGCAAAATAAAGAATAAATATAAGGGAACTACTTGGGATTTAGAATGGCAAAAGTTGAAGAGGATAATACTCCTCCGTAACATTTATAAGTCATTCCACAACTTCAGGACACTAATATAACTGTTAAACGAATCGATAAAATCAGATTTATGAATGAAGAATGTACCTCTTCCAAAACCATAATAGTTGCAGGGACATAATCAAGCTGGCGAGCTCCATGATTGGAGACGACAATTCCTGCAGCTCCATATTGTACCGCTAGTCGTGCTGCATTGTTAGCAGATATATCGTGAGTTGGCCATAAATTTTCGATAACAGATAAAGCTGGGAAGTTAGTTTTGTATTGGAATGTTGACTCAGGGATATGGTTACTTACCATCCTCAGCAGTAATTACACCCTTTACAAGAATTGGTAATTTGGTGATTGTCTGAAGCCATTTTACATCCTGTGCATGTGGCCAAGAGAATCATTTGAATTATTAATTCAGATTTCTTGTTTGAATTATCTTATATTGAAGCAACCATCTTTACCTTCCAGCTGAGAGACTGGTCGACTTGTCCAGCAACATATGATGCAAGTCCAGAATCATTGGTCTAGAATTTAATCACCAAAATGGTCAAGGAATGGATAATAAAAAATGAAGTTACCTATACAGTAAATTATTTGTCTGATATCTAAAGTCATATAAGTCACCCACCTTATCCATCTTTCCGAGATCCAAATCCTCAAAGTTTTTCAATGTCAAATTTGGCGGCAGAACAAATCTGTTACATACAATGAACTTTTAAAAGATACATAAAAGCCTAAGGATTCTGCTACGTTTTGAAACAACCTTACATCTTTGTAATAACTGTTTTTCTTTATTTCCAAATAATATTCTTGAATGAATGCTCACCTGTTCTTGATATCAGCCTCCCTGCGCCCAAGCCTTGGAGTGTCCACAGTAAGAACTATGGCCTTGAAACCAGCCCTCTCAGCTCTTCTGACAAGCTGTGTGACCACACTCCTGTCTTTGTACACCTTAACAAGAAGCACAACAATCATGGATAGAGTTAACAACACAAAACAAATGAGAACCTTGAAAGGAAATATATAATTTAGCCAAAGCAAAACAGGAAAGAACAAGAAAGAAAGTAACAGAAAATAGTGAGGGATGAATTTGAAACTCACATAGAGTTGGAAAAAGCGAATGCCAGGTCCTGTTGATGCAACCTCTTCAGCACTGGAAGTAGCCCAAGAAGACAGTGTCTATAACAACCAATATGCATATATGAGTTACTGATACAGCTATTATGAAAGCCACAGAACAAAGCTATCCACTAATTGGCTTGCACCTCAAAGACAACACTTAAACAAACTGTGATAGGAAAACATAATTCAATATTAGATGATACAACAGTATGGTGCCAAGCCAAACCATAATTGTGTCAGCCGCGGCTGCTGCTCTTGCCGTTGCATACTCTCCTGATTGAGAATTACAAAATTACATTTAGCCATCCCTCCTTTATAGGAAAAACTTGACAAATAAAAACTTTAAAGAGCTTTGAATGTATTCCAATTGTTGTTTAAATATTTTTGTCCAACTTACATAAAGAAGTATGTCACAGAAAAGTAAAAATAAAAGGGGCTTATACCTTCAGGATGAGCCATCTTCTGCATGGCTGTAGGAGCAATCATGATGGGCATTGAAATATTGAAACCCAACACAGTTGTTCTCAAGTCTATCTTACTTACATCTATAAGAATACGAGGCCGAAACCTATTCCATCAGAAACAAAACAGCAAAAGTACAACTTGAGCAAAGAGATTCAATGGAAAAGTACAACGAAATCTAGCCCAAAATACCAAGAAAAAGAAAACTACTTTTTGAGATGATTATCAATTAGCAAGAGAACAGCTTACAAAATCCTGGAAAATGCACGTTGGTTCTCCTTGAGAGTCCACTGATCCTCTGCACCAGATGCATAGTAGTCATAGACCATCTTTGGCAATTTCTGCTTTGCAATTGCCTCATACTCAGAAACGTTGGTTATCTCCATCTCTGCAACTATATGCTTAAGCTATCCTCTCACTAATCTGAAACAAATTCAAATAAGTAATTGGAATTTGAAAATCAAGTGAATCTTATGTGATGTTAATTGAGACAGTGAAATAAGTGAGAATAAAAATTCTGATCAAGAGTTACATGGTTTGTGTGCCCAAAACGCAATCCTAAGTTCTAGGTGCATAGTAATAGAAGAAGCTATGAATCAGCAAAAGCAACCTGGTACTAAAAGAGAATTAGAAAACAGCCCTACTGCCTAATTGGGCCTAGAGATATACACACTTGGATGCATCTTCATTTGGGTGTTTCTGCAAAACTCATGCGGAAGGCAACAAACAAACCATGTAAAGGGGCTTTCAAGTCTCACACGAGTCCAACCATGAAAGCGGTTTCCAAGTTTCCAACTTTCTTTGATTTTGACTGCAGGGTATGTGAGCCCTACTCTCTCAATACATTATTTGGCCATCTTCAATTGAGTTTTTACGATCAAACTCATGAGTTATGGGCTACTTATGTAAATTAAACGTGTAATTAGGCCCACTTAATGATATCAGAATTAAGCTTGAACAAATCTAATCATAATCCAAAAAAGCAAACACAAATTACAATATGGGATTGAAAATAACAAAGAGAAAAAACTCAAACAAGAAAGAAATGGAAAAAATGCCAATTTGATTAGCAAAAATGAAAGAAATGTATCCGATTTGATATAACAGGAAGAAAACAAGACTTCATTTTCACAGTACCATACATGATTTTGATCAAACCCATGTCCAAATTCAATCACTTAATCTAAACACAGAATCAAATTGTGTAAGGACAAATTCAAGAAGATGAAAGCTGCATGAATTGTGAAGCAAAGAACACACCTTTTGGCTTTCCTCCACTTAGAGAGAATGAAGGAAAGAAACAGAGAGGAGCTGGAGATAACCTTGATTGCAGAGAAAAAAGAGAGAACGACAACTCCCGCAGTGATATTGATACAATTCTACAAAGAAAGACAGTGATTGGAGAAAAGTATTAAAGAATGATGGGTGAAGACAAAAGAGGTAAGCGTCATCAGATAAGAAAAATAATAATGTGACTGGATTGGATTAGTTTTTGAAGGTGAGCAAATTGAAACCAATCTGTTTCTTGGAAATGTGAGACTTTTGCTGAGACCATTTGGTTGACTATCATTGCTGCATGCTCGTTCCATATGTACACAAGGGAAAAACAATTTTGTGGGTAATATATTAGTCAAAATAATAATTAGAATTTAGACAGCACAAGCATAATTTTTTCCTTCTTTAAAATCAGAAATAGGTGACATGAACATGTGAATGTGAATGTGAATGATCCTGCTGTCCTGCTCTGAAAGTACATAGGTCACATGAACATGTGAATCTTCATCCTTGATGTGAATGCTCAAAAATAAAAAAAAATGTATATTAGATTTTTAAAATTCTTTTGGATGGAAACTGATGTGGAAATACATAATTCCTTAATGCATGACAAGGACTGTTACTGTGTTAATGGTATTATCTTTTAAGGTTAGTAAATTAGAAGTTCACATTCTTTAATTCAAAATCATTCTAAATACTTCCAATTTTACTTTTTTTTTGGGCCCATATGAAGTGCATGTACTGAATTATTTTGTTTCCTTTTCCTCTTGTTCTTATTTATTCATTCGATGCATGCAAGTTGCCTTTGCTACATATAAGACACAAGGCGTAAGGGAATCTATGCTTTTGGACAGTATTAAACATTTGGATGATGTGATTGATGAAGAATATAAGTAATACATCGAAAATTTGAAATAAGTTACAACTTATGATAAGTGGTTTTACTTCTAATAGTACCGAAGTTTTTTGTAATAAAATTTCATATGTACTGAGCTTTGTAAGTGGTTAAGTTAAAGACAATATCGATGTTGCTAGTAGTGGACTGTTGACATGTCTCTCAGATGATCCGTCCCTCTGAAATCTTATAAGTCATGCTTGAAAGAAAATCATAGGACAGAGTTTAAAAATAGCAATAATTAATTTGAATATTGCCATCAACAATATTCAAACTGCTCTTTCAGGTTTCAGCAACTTGTGTTTCTGATTGCAAATTGATGAAGCTCACTTCTTATGAACAATCTGTTGATGAATCAACTGATGTTTGTGATTTCTTTAATTTAAAAAAGAAAAATATTTGAAACTAGAATCTCTTTCTTTGTCTTTACTATGCAGGCCCTTCATTGCTAGATCCCACGCCTTTGCTTCCTTTGTAAAAAGGCTGTAAAAATATAGACAATACACTCATCGATAAGACCTGAGAGTTAAGACTGATCATCAGCTTTTGATACTAGATACCACTACCAGAACTCCATTAAAAGCCAAAGTCTCTTAAAGACTGAAACTTTTTTTGGTTAACAAATAAAACACTGCAACACTGCAAGTCCAATTCAGCAACTGATTATGTTATTATCATCAAACCTACATTGCAAAACCTTGGTTCTTATTCAAGTTCTTCAAATTACCTTGTAAGTTGAAAACGTCTGGTGTCTCAACTTTCCTTTAAACTTTCCCAAAGGATCAATATTTAAACCATTGCTAATGTAATGCTAATCATTAAACTCAAAAACTTGAGTTCTGTGGATGCCAAATATCCAAATGGACTCATGAAATTCAAAAGAAAATAAGTTCCTCAACTTGCCTTCAATTGGAAAAAAAAGGAGTGTCGTTTACAGCATGAGATACAAGAAACATACAACAAAACTACATGAATTCAGTTTTTCATATGACCATGAAGAACCTGAACTTTTCTGAAGAGGGTACTGACTACATGGCTTCATTCTGTCAGACTCATTTGGGTGTTCACCAGCCAAGGTTTTGCCATCTCTTGGTCCACTTGCATTCAAACAAAGAGGGGTTATCACATTAGAAGAAATGCTCTTCTTATTGTAAAGTGGATTGCTTGTACATAGACCATCATTTCCTCTTACATCCAACCTCTTCCCAAGCCTTTCAATGAACTCCTCTGGAAGTGATAGATCTCCACTTAGCTGATTGTTGCTCAAATTTAGCTGATTTAAACTTGGAAGAGTCCCTAAATATGGAGGAACTGTCCCAGTAAGGCTATTGTTATCCAGAGAAAGAGCAGTGAGATTTTTCAAGGAAGATAGAGAGATGGGCAATGGACCAGTCAAACCACATCCTGAAAAGCTCAGTGATTTGAGCTTCATGAGCTTCCCTAAAAACTGAGGAATTTCTGTGTTGATTGGGTTGTTATCAGCTACCAAGTACTGTAATTGCTCCAAACCTGAAAGGGTTTCAGGGATTGGCCCATTTATCAAGTTATGGCTCAGATCAACCAACACCAACTTGTTGAGCTTCCCTATATCTGGAGGCATGCTTCCTGTAAACCTATTTGAACTTAAATCAATCTTTTGGATGAGCTGAAGCTGACCAACAGAGCCAGGCACCTGACCTTCTAGAACATTCCAACTTAAATCCAAAATGCTCAAAGTTCTCAACCCTCCAATTTCTACTGGTATTTGACCACTTAAATTGTTGTAACTTAGGTCAAGTTGCTCTAAGTTGACCATCCCACCAATGTTCCCAGGGATCTTGCCTAGTAGATTGTTCTGTGACAGGCTCAGGACCCTTAAGTTGGAAATTTTGGTTAAACTTGGGGGAAGTTCTCCTGAGAGAGCTGGATTGGACACAAGGGCTAGGTGTTCCAAGGAAGACAGTGCACCAAGAAGAGTTGGAGAAAGAGTGACTGGTGATGTCAAAAAACAATTGAAAATGGAAAGTGTTTTCAAGTAAGGTAGTTTGAGCAGGGACTCTGATAGGGTAGCAGAGGATTTGCAAGCAGGGGTTAGAATATCAGGGCCAATATGAATCTTTGTGACATGAAACATTGGAGGGTTTTCATCACCAATCTCACATTGAACACCAGGCCATGGAGTCTCGTCACATGGTTGTGGGTGTTCTTGGGCCCAGCTGGAGTCTCCTAGAAAGGCACCCAAAACTTCAAAAAGCCCCAAAAGCTCCTCCTTCCCCATCTCTATTTGAAACCCATCTGAGCTTTGCTGTCCTAACACTACCTCACCTGCCAAAACAAGGAACCCAACAAAGAAAAGAGGGAAAGAAGCCATGAGAGGAGAGCAAACCCCACAAGTGAACAAGAGAAAGCAAAGGAGAATGTGGCTTTAATTAGAACCAACCAAGAGACTGTTGCTTTACTCTTTTTCTTGATCAATGGCATTGATGACAGAAAGTAAAGTGTGGCATCAAATTATCTCAATTCAGGGTCATGATCTTAGTGGCTGTGCCTGCCAGTGCCAAGGCTGCTGTGAAATAAAAAAAGTTGTCGCCTTTGCTTCCCACATTGTGCAGAGGAGGGGGGAGCAGGGGTTGACAGTGGTAGTTTTGCATGGAAAAGAGTGCGATGTAGGAAGAGAAAACAGTTACTAGAAGTAGAAGAAGGTGTCAGAAGGGTCATGATCGATTGGTATTTTCAAAGAAGGATTTGTAAAACATTGATGGGACTTAAGAGCTCCTCTGTCTAGCCATCTATCAATCTATCTCTATCTCATGTCTCAGTAAGAAGCCGATAGATCATGGCCTTTCATGCTTTACAGATATACACAGGTGACACATGTGACTGATGTCTCTCTCTTCTTCTCTCCTTATACCATTGGGAATTTGCATGCGTGGGAATCGATGTGTGTGTGTTGTACAAGTATAGTAATTTTTGGTAAGATTCTAATTAGACATATTTAGTGATTAATTATGTTATGTATAATGTATGTATGCTGAATAAGATACTTAACTTTGGATTAATTTTTCGGTGTGAGTGATCGACTTATAACTAATCCACTTATATTATAATACATGTATATGTTTCTTAGTATACTAGCAACTATGTTGTTTATAACATGTGAATCAATAAAACCCGTGTGGGGCGATTATAATTCATACATTAGAAAGTTATAGAGATATAATTTTTTCTAGTTAGACTTCTATCAATGAAATGAAGGAAGAACCATCCCTTCCTATGAAATAATACAAAAAAATTGAAATGTCTCCTAATTTCACGTAGCTCTTTGAATGAGCTTGAGAACCCAAATGATACAAACCAAAACGCCCATCTTCATAAACTACGAACACTTGACTCTTCTTCTGTTTGTTTTTCAATTCACCTTGACCATTTCTTTTTCTTTTTTTAATGGTAAATTCGAAATTCTAGTTTCATGCAAGCCACAGTCTAATTATTTAACCTCCTGCTTTATAATTGCAGCAGAAGCGATCAGTGTCCAGTGATGGGTCATTTTGATGCCACAATAAAACTTGACGACCTACCCTCAATAGGCCGATCAATCACCCATGTTAGGCAAGCCAAACCCTAGATATGTGTGCACCTACATACTTATACAAATTTGCGTTTTCCATGAACTTTTGGGTTCTTCTCTAGAAAGGGGGAAAGCAGTCAAGCCCTGCCAGGTGTTGATGCGTTGAAAATGCCCGAATTGTTGCTTCAATTCATCACAAGAAGCGGATGCATGCATGCAGGGTGCGGGTTGGGATAATTCTTCCCAATTTCCATTGTATAGCCTTTTATTGCTTCTGTATTGTCTCCATATATCTTTTTTTTAAGTCTTGGAATAAATTCATAGGGGGAGTATGAAGTTTGTGTATTGCCATTGTATAGCATTTTATTGCTTGTGTATTGCTATTGTATTGCTATTGTATAGCCTTTTATTGCTTGTGTATCGCTACTGTATTGACCCCGTATATATTTTTTTTCAAGTCTGTGTTGGAATAAATTTATAGGGGGAGTATGGAGTTTGTATATTGCCATTGTATAGCCCTTTATTGCTTGTGTATTGCCCTCGTATGTCCTTTTTTTTTTCAAGTTTGTATTGCGGGTATGAATGATGGGGGGAAAAAAGCTTCACGGGGATGGGGATGGGAATGGCATACCCACCCCCGATTCAACCCATTGCCATCCCTATATAAAGGCAAGAAGAATGAGCTATATATACACATAATGTATATAATGTGCTCTCTTCAATGTATAATATAAATAAAAGTATTTTTCCATTGCATACACTTGCAAATACATAAAAAACAACATATTCAAGACTGAAATTTCTCAAGTAAATTGAACTCAATTTCATTCCATGAGGACTAAATAATTATATGGTCTGTCTGACACACAAATAGTTCCTTAATTACATGTTTTTTTTTCCCCTTATAACTACAGTACACTTCTTGCAACTGAATGGAATGTTGTCCCACCCCAAATTGATGAAGGTTCTCAATGACAACAATCTTCTAGAAGCCAACAATAATCTTGGTCCAATTGTTATGAAAAAAAAATGTCAATTATCTCAAGACTTAAGAGTTAAGGCTTCAAATCGCTAGAACCAAGCTTGTGGGATATGGGCCGTGACATGATCTCGTACTCTACCAATTGTTGCTTCACCTTCTCAAATTCATCCATCATCTTCCGCTACAACAAAAACAAAATAAAGCAATATCAATATGTACATATATAAATATGTATATACAAAGTAATACAAAAGACAAATTGGTACTAATGAGGTAGATCTTTGATATGCTCTATTGGAACCATCACTTTCCTTTTATTGCTATATATGCATATGCGCAAAAGCACAAACAAGCCCAATTTAAAATCTCCTACTTACGTATCAAGAAAATACTCAAAGCAGACTAAGTTTCTTATAAAAATAGAGTTCATTGTTTTTCGTTTGTGCTTCATTTGTAACTTATAACTCACATGGTATCCAAAATTTCAAGCAGTCCATCAAAACTCAATCAAGTTAACTCCGAAACAATGAGAGAACAACAATATTAATCAATGAAAGAATTATGAAATAGGCTGATCATTGATCAACAACATTAATTCCAGAACATAGACACCACAGAGGTATGCAGTACAATTTACTTTCATTCAATTTCTACACAAAAATAATCTTTTAGATTGATATAGTCATTCAATGCAAACTGAAATTTCACAGCCATGAGAATAATGCCAAGAGGAAGAGTATCATATCACCTCAGAATTGAAAAACATGTAATGGACGAGGAAAAACAAACCCACCAAGCACAAGACGAAAGGCCTTACTGCTCAAGCTTGATTAGTGCATATCTACATGGGCGTTAACCCCCGTATGATCATATTGCTTATTTTTTCTATTCTCGGCATTGGCTTTGCACCATTTATGTTTTAACAGTACATGAATTGTTCCAAATTAAAAACTTCAAATCGCAAGTCCTAATTATAGGCAATAAATTATGACTTAATAAAAATAGTCATTGGAGTTGGATCTAGGAAGCTGAAAGCATCACATGGCTCAAAGAAACCAAATCAGGGGACCACGTACAACAGGGGCTGTAGTGCTAGCTAGTACTACAGGGCAGGGTAGGGCAGGGCATGGCAAGGGACATTTGGATGCAAATGCTAGAGATATAGACCCTTTCTTTTAGGTAAATGAGGAAGACGAAGCAGCAACAAAACCTGGCCATGTGAAGCAGCATCATCAAACTCTTTCTATGTTTCTTTTGTTTGTTCACATACTTTTTTGCCATATCATAGCCCTTAGAATTCCTACAAAATAATAACATGAACTTTATTTCTCAATTTCACAATGACACAAAACAGTGTAGTATTAACTTGTTCACAGCACAAGGTAAATGGTGATGTCGAAATGAAGAAACTCAAGGCATGACACAAAAGTTGAAAAATAAGAAAATAAATATAATAGAATTCCAAATATCAAATGACACAACCAAGTATCCATTCACTATAAACTGACATAATATGGCACTTGTGTAAGTCTTCATGTAAAAACAGGGACATTTCTCAAGCATTGTTAAAAGGTAATTAAACTAATGTCAATGGCGATCTAACAAAACCATTATGCACTGTAAAGACATCTTCGTAAACAAATTATAATAAAACTCACATGTTCTTCCTTCCATATAGATGGATTCATTGGATCATCTTAGAAGTTCACCTTTAAGTATATACCATGAGAACTGTCCCAATTGGTTTGTATCTCAAAGAAAACCATAGTGCGCCTCATTAAGGTGATTCATCGAACACCTACAGGCCATTTTTTCATGCACTCATTAACTCAGCCTAACCAAACAAATAGAACCATATATTCAGAACAAGCAAATAAGAATAAATAAAATGATGTACCAAGAATTTGGATTTTGAGCAACTTTCTAGGCCACTATATGAAATTGAAACAAGCAGAAGAAAACCCAAATAACATATGGGTATGAAAGTAAAGGCGAAAAGTTGAGCTGGGTACTTGGGACGTCATCTCTAGGTATATGGATTTCAGGAATGCTGAAGAAAATTGAGAAATTTGTTGAATCGGAGGGGAAGAACGGCGATTGAAATAGGTGACAGAGAGTGAGAGATGAAGGTGGAGAACAGTGGCCGAAAGAGAAAGAGTGAGGTCGTCGTCGCCAATGTGGGTTCTGAGGAGGTGATAGTTGCCGTCTCCGATATGGGTGAAAGGGAGAGAGAAAACAGACGAGAGAAGAGGTGAGTGAGTGAGTGAGAGTGAGAGCTCTGAGCTCAGAACCACACAAAAAAGTGATACAAGGGTAATACACAGGCATTAGGGAGGTTTTTATAGAGGGCATTTTTAATTAGGTTTCAAAGAAGGGATATTAGTGAAAAAAACATGTGCGCTGGGGCAAAGCCACGTATTTCCCTTGGTTAGTAGGTGGGTCCCACAATTGACACGTCATTAGTTAACGTATGACCAAACGGTCAACTTAACGGAAGGCTTAAATTGGTCATATTAGAAAACATTGGGGTTTAAATTGATAAAATTGAAACCCTGGGGTCCATATTGAGAATGACCCCAAACCATCAGGGTGTCTTTTGTCGTTAACTCATATTTTTACGTAAAACAGTTTTTCATGTATGATATAAATGAATGAAGAGACCTAAGGTCAATCTAGATAAAAAGTCTTAAATGTTCAATCTAGGTAAAAAGCTTTAGATGTTCAATCCACAAAGAATTTTTAGCCTTTCAAAATTGCACATCCGCTAAAAAAATTTATTTGTCCGTCAGTGCTTCAAATCTCAAAATCAAAGCACATGAAT